ATCGGAAGAAGGCTGTACACGCTCGAAAGCAACAACTTGGCCTCCAAAATCAGCTTTGAATTTGTTAACGGCGCGAACCAACTCGGTGGACGGTCTCTGCGATTGCGAGAAAGAACAACAAATCTTGGGAGAAATGGCGAGATTAGGGATTAAAGATTGGAAGGGGAAATGACGAAAATCACCTTGTAGACGCACTCGGAGAGAACCATACAGCAGAGGATGTCTTGCAAGTCGGAGAGGGAATCGGCCTTGACGGCGATGCAGAGATCGTGGAGTTGCTTCCGGAGACGCCCTGCTGAAGCTTCTTTCTCTGCTCCAGGTCGCCGGCGTTCCACGGCGGCCACCTCATCCGCCATTGCAATGGGCCCCAAGACACCTTCAAGATCTTCGCTTTTTGCTCTCTGATCCAAGATTCCACTCGGCTCTGTATCGCCTCCATTCTCTCTCTCTCTCTCTCTCTCTTCCAAGAAAGAACTGATTGGGTCGGCGAAGATCACCGACCGATAGAAACCGTAGCGCGGAGGCGCGGCGTTCTCTTTCTCTCTCTCCTTTTTCTTTTTTTAATAATTTATTTATTTTACAATATCTAAGAGGTTTTTCTGCTTTTTTTTTCCTTTTTGCACTATAATATCCAAAAAAAAATCCGAACAAAAAACTAAGAATAAGAATAAAAACAAGAGGAAAGAGAGTATTGCGTGGGGGAACTGCGTACGGGCCGGAGATGAGAAGCATATGCCACGGAATCAGAAAGTCTGTTACTTGCATAATTCCATTTGTTTTTTTTTTTTCCTTTCTTTTCTTTTTTTTTTTTGTCTTAATTTATTTTCCGAGTTTTTGCATTACAATTAGGAAATTATAGTGCGTGTTTGGAACCGTTTTTTAAAACAATTTTTGCATATTTTAAGAAATAAAAAATAAAAATAAAAATAAAACGACATTTGTTTAGTACATATTTTGAAAATGAAAACGATAAAAATAGTTTTTATGAAGGAATTAGAAAATAGTTAAAAATTATTTTTATTTTTTTATTTTTATTTTTTATACTTATCAATAATATTATAATATATTAATTAATAAATACGATTTCATTTTTTTATTATACTCTAAATAATCTCTTAAAAAATTAACCAAACATAATTTCAGAATAACTCTAAAATAATCTCATCTTTACTTTTTATTAAAAACAAAATCATTTTGAAATTAATTTCAAAGAAATTCTCTCTTTATTTTTTCTTTTTTGTTTTTTTTTTTCCTTGATTAAGTTCATTTTCAGATTATAGAAGGTCCAGAGTCAAGCTTGCATATATTCGTTTTGGATTGATGGAATAAAATGAAGATATTTTTATTCAGAGAACCAAAAGGCCCTAATATCTACTTCAAAAAAAAATAATAATAAAATAAAATAAAAAAAACAAAACTAATTTCCATATCAAGGCAGCCTCGAATATCTCATATCGTTTCTTAACATTCTTCCTCCAAAACGAATAAATTTTTTTTTTTAGAACAAAACGAATTAGATTTCTTTGAGCCAAAAAGACGAAAACCAAAAGGCCCAAAAAAAAAAAAAAAAAAAAAAAAAAACCTAATTTCCATATCAAGGCAGCCTCGAATATCTCATATCGTTTCTTAAATTATGAATTATTATTATCATTTTCCTTTTCTTTTCTTATCATTTAAAATGTATCGTCGTTTTTTATTTGTTCCTCACTAGTTGTTTTTGAGGTTCTTGATATCTTGTCGTTTACCGTTTACTGTTTGCTTTTGTTATAGTTCCTTCGTTCATGTTCGTTTGTCAATTTCTCATAATCATTTTACTTCTCTTTCTGGTTTTCTTCTCTCCATTGTCGTCTGTGTTTATGCTCGTTTTCTTTTTAATTTTTGTTCTTAAAATTATTGTCGTTTTTAATGCTCCAAGCTTCCATACTTAACCATTTTCCCGCCCAAAAAAACCGATTGTGAGCCCGACACCCGACCCGAACCACCCAAATTTTTCGGGCCACCCGCCCAAGCCCGAGAAAGCCCGTGGACGGGCCGCGGGACTAGTTTTGGCTGCCCGAGCCCACCCAAATGGCCCGAAAATAAAATATTTTTTTTATTTTTTTAAATTTTTATAATATTGTATATATTTTTTTATATAATATACTATTATTTAGTAATTATATTTATATATAAATAATTATTAAGTTATTTTATGTTATAATTATATAAAAACTAAAATCAACATTCAACACACATTATTAACACAATTTAATAAAATAATTTTGTATGTTACTTTTTAAATTCATAATTCATGATTGCCTCCTTAAAAACCTTACTAAGAAAAATTCAATTGGGATAAAAACTTGGTAAGGAAAAAATAGTGCAATCATTTTGCGACGAATTATAAATTTTACAAACTTAAAAAGTCTAAATATACAATTACAATGTCGAAAGCAAATACATATTTACAAATTACAATTTAATTTGAAGCTGAAAGATCATCTTCAAAATTAAATGTTAATCTATTAAATTCATCGATCCATTATTGACTTGCCGGTGAAATTGTATCCTGTAAACGTTGATCAGGACGATCTCAATCCTTAATGCAGACCAAGGTTTCTACAATATCTCTTTGCAATGCGTTTCGGCGTTCCTCAAGTATTCGTCTAGTCATACTGAAGGCTTACTCGGATGAAACAGTGGAGACTATGATCGAAAAAATATCCATTGTCAATCGAGTTAGGATTTGCCAATTTAAAGCTCGTGCCCTCCACCATTGAACTAAGTCAAACAATTCTCTAGTACCGTCGACAACTAAGCTCTCACTGAGATACGCCATAAGCTCGTTGAAGCCGCCGCCGCCGCTGCCACCTGTTGATGAAGATCCACTCCCAGTTTTTGTTTGAGTCGTTTTCTTCTTCTTCAACCCGAAAACATTCAAAAATGAATGTGGATTTTCATCTTGTTGTTGCAGTTCATGTACTCCAAAGTTTGTGTTTCTAAATCTATTCTCATATTTACTATAGATCGAAAATATTTTTGCCTTTATTGTTGGAAATTGGTCATAACAATTGATGCCTAAAAATTCACCTAAGTTTTCTAAACCGTCTAATTTTAATATAGGATCAAAAATAGTACCAAAACTATACAATAAAAGCAATTTAGACCAAAATTTTTTAAATTTCTCTTCCATAGAAGCGATAGGAACTCCTAAGATTGGGTCCACCTTATATTCACTCAATAAAATACTAATTCTTAAAAGTTTACCTAAAGCTAAAGGTGATGTTAGGTAATATGTTCCACTAAGTTTTAAAGTAACTGTTGGGAATGGTGTCCTAAAACCATAAGATGTAATAGGATATTTATTATTTATTTAATAAAAGAGTTTATTCATCATTTTATGTGCATATATTTGTTAATATTTTATGAATATTAATGAAAATTCTATGAAAATTTTATGTAACCTTAAACATTGTATATAAGTGTTATATACGATAGGATAATGTTTAAGGATAATAATTAAAAAGTAATGTTCATAATGAATTCAATTGAAGTTCAGAATCTTTAATTAAAACATTATTAATACATGTCATTCCTATTTAGAATGGAACAGTGTTATCCGCACTATTAATATGGTGAGGTATTGAATGAGTGTATTTCGCATAATGAGATTATGTGGAACAAGGACACATACACAATATGAATTTCTAATAATTTTCGTTAAGTATAGAAATTCTAATTAAGTCTACCGATGGTCATATATAGAATGATCTTAATCATGAGTTCTTAACAGACTCCTATTTATGAATTTGTGTCTTTTGATTTACTCGGTATGGATTCTGAGATCTTAAATCCTATTCCTTGTATTTTGGAGACATGATGAAGTAGGTAGCCGAGAATGTTATTATACGAGATGGAATCCATTCCTTCTTAAGAAAGAAGTAGATAAATAATTCTCTTGATGGTTGATTTGGTACTTGGACCAGTAGGAGCTCCGATTCATGAATGTGTTTTATGAATCACTGTCCATTAGAGAATCAATGGTACTCAAGGATAAAGATATAATTAGAGAGGTTAACGGATTTTACCTAGCTCTAATTATGAATTATTTATGGAGGATTGATCTATATGCAATGACTATATCAAATGGACACTTCACAATTTAGAAGTAATTTATGTCTATAATTTTGATAGTGCAATTCCAAGTTTATAGTGGAGTAACTATTGGAATTAATAGAATTAATTAATTAATTAAAATGTTTAATTAATTATTAATTTTATTGGAGCTTGGGATTATAGGTCCATTAGTCTCCGCGTCGTCCTAGTAATTCTACTAGACACAAAGGGCAACATGGGAATTTTAGAATTACGAAATTCTAAAATTAAACACTCAAAAATAATTAATTGAGAATTAATTATTATTTAAATAATGTGATTATTTGAATTTGAACACATCTAGATTTATCCATTTAAACTTCTTTGATAAGCTGTTCAATTTAGAATTCAAATTAATTTAAGTTTGACTTAAATTAGAATTTGAATTTGAGTCAAAATTAGTCTACAGGATAAATGTTGATTTTCTATTCCTTCCCTATCTGTAAATGGGTGCCACACAGGGATGAGAATCCCTTACAATGGCCGGCCACACTAAGGATAAGGGAATGAGAGATTTTGTTTCAAATTCAAATAGGAGATAATTGACAAGTTTTATCTTGGAGATAGAAATTTGATTCATTCTAGAAGTTTGACTTATACTCTATAAAAAAGAGAATAGTAGAAATTATGGACACAATTTTTGAGACAACTTTTGAAACAATTTTTGCCCTAATTTGAATAGGGTGGCCGAAATTATTCTCATAGAGTGAGAGGGAAAAAATTTTCTCCAAAAATTTCACATCGTGCATGCGTTGGTGTTTGTAGAAATTTAAGTTTTTATTCTAACCCGTTTTGTCTAAGGTGTGCCCACACACACGTCTTCGTGGATTCTAAGAATTGACATGGAAGACATTGGTTTTCTAAACACAAAGCTTTGGAGCAATGATTGTTCGAGGTCAAAGAACTCAAGTTATCATCCTAATCGGCCGCCGGGTATTATTCGTAATTGAGTTCTTAATAAATGAATTAATGAGATTAATTTATTCGTGCATAAATTAATATAATCTATAAAGTATCTCAAAGGTTTTGTGAAAATTTTTGTTATACACGATCCGCCTCCCCCCACGCTTAACAATAACTTCATGAAACCTACCTAGAAATTGATACAAAACTTTGGCAATTTGCCAATCATATGCGTCTATATGTAATGTTCCTAATTTTGCGCAGATATAGTTTGTTATAGCATCTTTATAGGGTATGCATTTTTGAAGTATAATATAAGTTGAGTTACATCTTACACGCATATCTAAGGTTAATGCTCTAGGAGGTAGATTTAATAGTTGTAAGAGCATAAACCAATCTTGTTCTCTTTTATTACTATATTGAATTCATGCAATACTATCTCTTATTCTTTTAATGTGAGTAGTCATTTCTTTTAAACCGGATTTAACTATTAAATTAATTACGTGGCATGCACAACGTTTGTGAAAAATAGTATCATCATTGAATAAACTTAAATC